TAAAAATTTTCATTCCAGAATCAAGTGTAATAGAAACTGGAAGTGCAAGATCTGACAGAGGCAAACTATCTGAGATACAGAAGTTGAAGGATGCAGTTCATACTTCATAGTCATAGACCATGTTTACTTCCTCTCCCTGAAGTTTACTTCCTGTTCCATCGAATGTTTGATACATACATAGAATATTAAATATAGACTTAAAAAAAACTAATTACACAGTTTGTGACTAATTTACGAAATGAATCTTTTAAACCTAATTAATCTATGATTTGACAATATAGTGCTACATTAGTACATGTGCTAATGACGGATTAATTAGACTTAATAAATTTGTCTCGTAGACTACTGATAGATTCTGTAATTTATTTTTTTATTAATTTACGAACACCCAATGTGAAACTCCCGTGACACCTGAAAAATTTACACCCTGGAATTAAAAGGCCATAGCTCCGGTAAACAGTTCACCTTTGCTGTTCCAATATAACCGACTATGCACAAGATTGAACTTCATCTCAAAATAGTAAAGACATGATTCCAAATAAAATGCGATCTGTCACATGCTGCAAAGAGCAAAAGCAGTAGCTCGGGCATGCACAAATCATATGTTGAAAGAGAATGGATAACGTCAAAGACTCGCAGAGTCGAGAACCTTAAGCCACACGCAAGAAACCCATGGGCAAACTGGTAACAAAAGCGAAAAGCTGCAACATTTCACTGTTTCATTCTGGAAACAATCAGTGATGGAACAGCACCTCACTCTACCAGGTTCAACAACCATGTGCTGCCCAGGAAACCCATGGAAATTATTTGCAGTACTCAAGTCAGACTCCAACAACAGAGATCCAAGTACACAAGTTTGTTTTGTCAAACAAAAAGGTGGGCATCTCAAACCAGTCAGAATCCCATCAAGAACAAGGAATCAAAATCCTTTGAAATTCAGATTGCGACGTGAAATCTAGTGCCCTTTTCCTTTCTCGAAAAACTAAGGATTACTTTCCTAATTACACATGATACTAAACTTGTTATATGTACCGCCTTACTTTAAGGAGGTTTTTATCAGTGTGCCATTAAAAAATTTGTAATTACACACAGGCCATTAAAAAAGTTGACCGCACACAGACGCTACCGTTCTAAACTTCTTTACTCTCCGAGCCATTCCATCCACATTCCGTTCGTTTTTCACCGTTTTGGAGTCCTGACAAGTAGGTCAGGTCAGTCAAAACGTCCATAATACCCCTCTCATCCCTATCCCCTCTCTCTCTCAAGCTCGATCTCTCTTCTCGTGCGTGCGGCCGGGGCGGAGCTCGCCTGCGCCCGCGGCGGCCGGCCGGGACCGAGCTCGCCCACGCGCGCTCGCGGCGGCCGGGGCGGAGCTCCCCCGCGCCCGAGTCCGCGCCCGCCCGCGGCGGCCGGAGCTCAACTCCTCGCGTCACCTCCACGCGCGCTGCGGCAGATCCACGGCGAGGACCGGCTGCGGCAGCTCCACGCGCGCCGCCTCCTGGCTCTCGCCGTCGTCGTCGGGGACGAGGCCGCCTCCCTACACGCTGGGGCCCTCGCCGTCGCCTTCGGGGCTCATGTCGGTGTGCACGGGGGAGCTCCACCCTCGGCTACCGCTGGAAGGATGCTGCCGACAGGGGCACGAATTGGAGGTTCTTGAGCCGCTCATGCCGCTGCCGCCGCTATCCTTTGCTCACCCTGTCCATCCCCGCCATCTCCTTCTCCTTGGCCGCGGCGGCACAGCGCGGCGGGCACGCCCACGGCCGCGAGCACGACGAGCTCCACCACCGCGAAGGGGAAGCAGCAGCACACCGCGGCGCACTCGGCCACCGTACTGCCCGCCACCTCCCCACACCGCGGCTGCTCCCGTGCCCGCCGCCGCTCCCGCCGCGCTTCCACGGGCGGGGACCGCCGCAGCCGACGCTCCTCCTCCATCGCCGCCGCAGCCGCCGCGGGCGGGGATGGCGACGCCGACCCCAGCCCCCGCCCCGTGGACGTGGACGTGGACGCCGACCGCCGGTGGCTGCGTCGCTGCTTCTGGTGCTGGTGCTCGTGGCGCCGGCCGTCGCGCGTGTGCTCTCCCGCAGGCCTCGGCCATCGTCGTCCCCGATTGCGCGCTGCTCGTCGTCATCTCCACCGCAGCAGTCAGAGACCGCGGCGCGCCGCCATCACCTAGAGATTCGTGCGGGGGAGAGCAAACGGGCGGCCGGCCGGGGGAGGAGACGCATTCGCCCATGCCGCCAGCGCCGCGACGACGAGTAGGAGCACGAGGAGCGCGGAACGGAGGCGCAAGAGAAAGAGAAAGTTTGGGTGGCTGACAAACGGACCCCACCGTAGGGTAAAATGATCATTTCACTTGTCTGTTTGACACCGTTAAATAGAAAAACGAACGGAATGGCTTGGAGAGCAAAGAAGTTCAGAACAGTGGCATATGTGTGCGGTCAACTTTTTTAATGGCATGTGTGTAATTACAAACTTTTTTAATGACATACAGGTAAAAGCCTCTACTTTAAGAGGTTGACATCTAACAACACTTGTTGCCAGTTCCAAATTAATTAAACTAATCTATACATAAGACTTGTCATACAATAACCAATCTACTCATTGAAATGGTATCCCAAAGGATAACCCTAAACACAACCTATACAATGCTAATATCCTAAACTACAAGCTTACAAATTTACAAGTTAACTTATAGGAAATGTTTGATCAGGAACAGCCTCAGCCATGTATATTAACACAATTTTCTTAAAAAACAAAAGGTTTTTCAAACCAATATTGGTCAATAGTTAACATAATAAAATCCTGATAAGTCACAACGTAATACCGATATAGCTTTCTAGGTAAACTGTGCATAGTGGCACTGAGGAATACAAAAAGTTTCAAAAGTTTGGATATTTTAGGAGCGCAAAGCTACCAAACCATTATTATTGGCTCATCTTATCTTATCTTATACTCTTATAAAACAAAACCCTACTAGCTATTTCTCTCAACATACAAGCTATCCAACTAGACAATGAACTATCACATACAATTAATATCCACTAAGCAAAACTCCACTAGCTATTTATCTCAACATGCAAGTTGTCCAAACTAAACAATGCACTATCACATACAATTAAAATCCATTAGCATATGTAACTGTAATGTCCATGTCAACAAGACACATAAGCTTTTTATTGTTCATGTCATCATACCACGAAATTCACTAATCTGCAATTCCCACAGCAACACGCGGGGTAGTCCACTAGTATTAGTAAATAATGAAAGATTCCCAAGTGGTAACAATGCATGTAAGACTTCTATCTCCATATTCGCCCTCCAAACTTAGGTACCATATATTCACATTTCACAAAGGAAAAATGTATCATATAAGTCCATTAATTTTTTTAAAAAAATTGACACCCACAAGTAATCCATGTTTCATTTTGAAATCATCGGCCAAATTTTTCTTCCTAGGTGTTACACAATGAACAGTCCCAAAGAGGTACTTGTCCACAAAGAACCCGGCAATCACAACAATCAGTGGTTTAACATTTTTGTTTGTATTCAGTTCATGAACATCAGCTTCTGCAAGGTGTAAAAGAGCAGTTATCAAATAAACATTATGCTTCAACTTGAATAACACTCAAAAGAGGCCACAAAGACATAATAAAAAGTGGCTCACAGAAAACCATGTCATGCATATGTGTGGCTAATGAAAAGGTAATAGAGGAACAATCATGTGAAGTTAAGGGTTTCAATAATGACGATCTGATTCTGCAAAATTATACTCCCTCCGTCCCCAAAAAACTTGATATTTTAGGATTTTTAGGACAGATTAGTGCTCAATGGAAATTGCCCACTACCCCTATTTATTAAAGATGAACCATGCTAATTAAGGAATAAACCCCTCGTTAAAAGAAATGCATGGAGGCATGCAGACCATAATCTTAAGCAGATAAGGGCCCAATCTATCATCTAAGAGCTAGAACATCAAGATTTTTTGGATGGAGTATTGGCATTTAGAATGACAATTAAGGCTGTGATTACAAGGATATATTTCATAATAATATAGAAAAGAACCCACATCTCATTTTTCGTATCATCATCACTCAAAACCTTGACATCAAAATGATACTTAGGTTATTCACCATATAAAACAAAACATTAATAATGAACCTACAAGACAAATAACAACCAAAATCATCCATAAGCAACATCAACAGATTGATGTTTTTCAAATAACCAAATCATTCCATAAAGAACATCAACAGATTCACATTTTTTTAGTTGCTTCCACCAAAACAACCATCAAGTATGCAACGTTCAGATAAAAGCAATCCAGTGCATGAGAAGCACAGGATCTCATAGCAGATAAGGTAAAGTAAAATATTCCACCATAATTGAATGAATCAAATAAATGCATTCAATACCTGCTTGTGTGCCATAGGATAACTTTACAGAGGTTTATCTGATCTAATTTTAAGGGAAAGCGATAATGGTCCAAACTCCAAACAAGAGTCCAATTTGTAATCATGCTCCACTCAAACAGTTTAACAGGAACCCATCCCAAGGTCATTCAGCCAAATAAATGCATAAAGAAGGCATCAAAGTGCAACATATATGATAACTCAGAAATTAGGAAGACGCTAATAATAAGATGGTCACTTCTTTTGTTGCAGACATAGACAAGGGAATATGAAAACTTGCTCTGTCATCATGAAGATGGAAGGCCTCTGAAATTTAATGTTTCTAGATTATTGGTATGACATCTTTTGCATGGTATCATCTTCTAGATCATAAGTCTGATCCAAATGTAAATGAAAGAAATGGATTAGCTGGGGCAGAAACTGATGTATGAACTCAAGGGTTACAAGGTCCTGCTGCTCCTCTGCTGATGCCAACTACATCAGCTACCAGGTCAAAGGCAGAAACTCATGGAGTGCTGAAGCTAAACAGGCCTGCCTTTGGGAATACCTCTCTTTGTAAACATCACTGTGCAGACCCTTGACGAAGTGAACTCAGCAGCCCATCACAGCGCAATTATACACAAAATTTCCAGATGGCCGTCTGTCCATCAAATTCCACACAGGTGGATTATCATCAGGAACCCATGAGGTTAGCTCAATCGTGCCCCCAACTGGTGTTCTTGGGCCACCAATGACAATAAGCCTCTCACCACATGCCCTGAATGCAAGGCCCCATCCATTCATGGACACAGATCGCTCGGGCAATTTACCAAGTGTGATCCAGCTATTATTCTGCTTGTCATACTTCTTGACATCCTTCTCGCTGTAATCAGCAGCATACAGCTCGTTCTTGACCACTGCAACAAGTGGGGGCGCACCGCTCACTCCATTTAGACCCCCAGACATGTTCTCAATCACACTCCAAGTCTTGCTCTGCGTATTGTACACTTCACCGCAGGTCAAGATCATGTTGTTGTTTGTCACACCGCCAATCACATAAAACTTGCCATCCATGAACACCCCAGAGCAATTTTTCCGTGCCTTATTCATGCTAGGAAGAGGTGTCCAAGTATGTGTCTCCGAGTTGTACAGCTCTGCTGAGCTGAGGATCCTGCCAAGAGAATCAGTTCCACCAGCAACATATGCCTTCTCCCCCACGCTTGCTGACCCAAATAGACACCGAGGAGAATTCATCACCTCGCCTCGTGTCCAAGAGTTTGTCAGTACACTGTATCTGAAGACAATGTGTGCCATCCCAAACACAAGCAGCTCGGTGCCCACAGCCAAAGACTCCTTGTCCGAGCACATGAAGCACTCGTCAGGTGGCATCTTGGGCACCGAGATCCAACGCTTGCGGTAGGGGTCATAGGCATCCCACTCCAAAACATTACAGGAGAAGTACACCCAATGCTCCGCGATGTTATTCTGCTGTCGCAGCCTGTAGATCTCCCCTCCTCGCACCAGAGACCGGAAATCATGATTCAGCGATGCCACTGAGCCATACTCTGATCGAGACAGCCGGAGGAGGCAGTTGATGGACAGGTCACGACCGATTTCTCCTATGAGGTCACCCCCACCACCGCTGTGCTCCCCACCACCGGCCACCACGGTGCGGCGGTGGCGGCCGGGGGCATGAGCTTCACGAATATCTGGTGTGTGCGGTTGCGGCGACGGCGGCTTGCTGCGCTTGCCGCCGCCATCCACCTCGTCCATTTCCTGGACCTCGTCCTCGAAGTCTTCCGGGGCGCGCCGCTTTCGGCCGGCGCCTTCGACGAGGCCATCCGCCCACTGTAAGTCCACCTCGCATCCGCCCCGCGAAGCCCGGGGCGCGAGGCAGGAGTCCCCGTCTTGCAACGCCATGTCCTCCCTCTTGTCGTAGAGATCCATCCCCGCCGCGGGTTCTTGAAAGAACCGTACGCGGCAAGAACAAGCAAGACGGGAGCGGCCTCGATCCCCTCTCCTCCAACTCCTCCTCTTCTATCGGGATTTACACCGCGCGCCTTGCTCTTGCTTCGATCTGCGGGCAGAAAACAGGAGGAGGTAAACGAATTGAGCGAGAAATCGCGAAGAAGAACAGATCAAGGAGCTGAGATCTGATAAGCCCCTCACGAACCCATCCACCCAGTAGGCCAGTAACACGAATCCCCCCTCCCCTTAGCCAATCCAAGAACCATAAAACCCCGAACCCATCCGAGAAATGAATCTCAAGGAACGGCGCACGTACCTAGGCAGATGAAGGCATCCGATCCAAGAACACTGAATCAACGACGAGAGGACGCGGCGGCGGCTGGATCCACGAAGCAAAGAGAAAAGAAAGCGCAATCACATCAAACCCTTCCCATCAACTACCCTCTCTCTCTCTCTTCCCTGTACAAAATTTCCCTCCCCACTCCCTCTCTAATCTGTCTAATTGGCCAAATATTATAACTGCATGTATATATAGAAGATGGATAGAAAGAGATAGGTGGCCTGGTCTCGCCTTCCTCTTCTACTGCGCGGGCCTGCGGCGTCTGATGCTTCCCCTGCTGTGTCGCCGCCGCCGCGCGCGCGCGCTCTCTCTCTCGCCTCTGCGATGCGGTGTGCAGGCAGCTAAAATGTGTACTTTGGATTCTTCTCTTTTACTTATATGCCTCCGATCAAAACTTTACACCCTCCCGCCTAGAATATTTAGACACATTAAATATTAAATATAGATTAAAAAAAATAACTAATTACACAGATTACGACTACTTTGCGAGATAAATCTTTTAAACCTAATTAGTCCATGGTTTGACAATAAAGTGCTACAATAACACATGTGCTAATGGCAAACTAATTAGGCTTAATAAATTCATCTCGCGGTTTACTAGCCGATTCTGTAATTTATTTTTTTATTAGTATTCAAACACCCCATGCGACACCCTTACGTAACATCCGATGTGATACTTCAAAATTTTATACCTTAAACTAAACAAGGCCTTATTCTAATTCGTTTTCTCCTCTCGTTTTTGTACTGCTTTATAATTTATTTTGGTTATGTTTTCTATATACTGTTTTTCTTATTCACCTTTCTTTTTATAAAGGCTTGGTGTGCATTCTGGGCTGGGCCTGTTCGCTTGAACTTATCAGCCGGCTTATCAGATACAATCTACATTATTTTTCTCTCACAACAAAACAGTTTCAACCGGTTTTAATACCAGCCGAACATGTCGTATGTTCCATGGTCCTTGAAATAACTTAACTTTCCTTTCTTATATTCCCATTTTGGAAGAGTCAAAATTAAGGTTTGATGTATGCAACAAACATCACCCTTCAAAGTTCCAACATTCTCTCTATCTAAGAGCATGTCCAAGAGCGAACTAAGCGTAGCTCGGCTGGTTCATTGTGGTGAAGCATGTCCACTTAGGTTGAAGTCCCCGACCTAATACGGGTGTTCGTATTTTCCTGAATTTATTCTAGGGCTATGTTTAGTTCCTCCCAAACTCCTGAAAAGTGCACTATGCAAAAAGAAGATTCCCCGTCACATCAAATTTGTGGTACATGCATGGAGTACTAAATATAGACGAAATAAAAAACTAATTGCACAGTTTGATTGTACTTTACGAGACGAATCTTTTGAGCCTAATTAGTCAATGTTTGACAATAATTCACCAATACAAACGAAATGCTACAGTGGGGAATCTTGCACTGTGCAAACTTTGCACCTCCCAAGTTTGGCCAACTAAACAAGGCCTAGGATTTAACGACACTACTCTTTCAGTGGTAGGCGGTGTGCCCATCAACTACGAGGCATTTGTGATGACTTCGTCAATCTCGAGATTTGTCGGTCCAACTCAGTTTTTGGAGATGCTCATAGGGATAGGGTGTGTACGTGCGTTCATAGGGGTGAGTATGCGCTCGTGTATGTTAGCGTCTGCATCTGTAACTGGGTCTCATAAAAAAGCATCTCCAAGAGTTTTCAAAACACACTCACAATCTTGATTTTGTTAGCAAAATTAGAAAACCTCTCTCAACAACTTCTTATCTCAACTCTCAATCTTTTTGGAAAAATCAATCCAATCACGTGAAGGATATACGTGCATATTCAATCGAGCGATTTGCAGGAAAAAGGAAATGTGGAAGAATAAGGAGAAAGGACAGGGATCCAATGAAAATTTACAAGAGAGAAAAAAATTATAAAAATGGATGGGGTAATTTGGAGAGATTCCTGAGACAAAATTACATTCTATCTTGGCGGAATAGTCATTTTGGTCCCTTAACTAATGTCAAGGCTCATTTCATCCATGAACTTTTAAAATGGTCATTTCAGTTCTCAAACTTTACTTTTGGCTTTAGCTTCATCCTAGAGTTATCAAAGTGGCCGTTTGAGTCCTCAAATTTTATATTTTAGGCTTAGTTTTATCTGAAAAGGATCAAAGTTCATTTCAATCCTCAGGCTTTTTCTTTTCTTGCTCAACTTCTTCCCTCATCCTACGTGGGACGTCACACAACCTAGTTAGCTCCAATAGCACTTGTGGTTGGAGATAGAAAAATAATATTCAAACAAAAACATCATTAGTGGATGGTTTTAAAAGTCTTTAGAGAATAAAATGATATGTTTTTGTCCATAAGCTAAAAAATAATTAATATTTGAGGATTCAAAGCTATATTTATATTCATTTTAAAATATCGATACAAATGTTAAAAGTGTGATGTCTGATTCGATAGCTAGGATGACGCCACTAGGGATGAAAACGGATTGGATCGGAGCGGATAATGTCTTCCCCATATCCTAATCCATTTTTTTGTCGGACTCGGAGCGGATCGGATATTATACAGATTCAGATGCGAATACAGATTTTTTAGGATGTCGAAAATGGTACAGATTCAGACCGGTGTCGGAGCGGAAGCGGACTTTTTTAAGTCGGATAATGTGTGCTTACGTGTTTTTTTATGATGAGAAACAATTCATTAACCAAAGTCACAAAGCAGCAATACAAAATGAAATAATCACCATCAGTCCACCACTTCGATTTAAGAGCTCACAAAATTAATACAAGTTCTTAGTTTGGTTAAGAGTATAAAACAAGAGTGTAAAAGAAATAAATATTCTTAATTAAAATATTTAAGCAAAACTTTGCCATTTGCTGATTAGCCGCTGTAGCACCCGGTTTTAAGAACAAAACCAGATACGCACCATGTGTGAGCCTAAGAAGTCAAATATCACATATAGCTATAAATAAGGGTAATATCAAAAGACAAATGCTCAATATATAACGTACTTAGTATAAAGTATACAACCTTAGACAGCAAATAGCGGAAAGACAACTCCGATCTTTGGGTGAAGACTCCAGTTCCACAGGGATAACAGACTGGTTGATCACAAGCTTAATTCCTCCAAACTCTACCAATTGGGTACCAATCCGAGATTTTTTCAAAGATTTAAAAAGTAAAGTAAGCGTAAGTACATGTTGTACTCAACAAATATAACATAGGGTTTATGAGGATCAAAAGGCTAACACTGGTTTAACTGCAATTAGCTTTTAATGAGTCATCTTTTAGCAATTGGGTGGCAACAAGTTTATCACAGGCCCATAAACACATGATCGGGTAAACATAAATAATGAATAGCATAAATAATTAACCATTAATGAGCATCTTTATTATCAGTATCATTATTGTTCCTCATCATTAACCATTAGTGATCATCTATTTCGTAAGGGTTTCAAGGCCGCTCGTGACCGTAAGCACGACTGATATACCAGTTTTACACTCTGCAGAGGTTGTACACTTTCACTGCGAGTCGTGATTTACCCTTTCACCCAAGGTAGCTAATCTCTTGACCCACTTCCAAGAAAGGTCGGTAGGGTTCACTATGAAGCATTTCAAAGGTTCGTTTAACAAGTTAGGGCTATTAGATTCACTCAGCAAACAGATGTAAAGCCTCCCATCCCGATGGCACAATGACGCGCAGCCTATACACAAGGGGACAGAGGCCACACTATACCCGATTCGTCAAGCCATTCTTACGCCAATAAAGATAACCACTAACAAGCTAGAAAATGTCCGCATACTGAGCTAAAGCCAGAGCCATATAGCCCTCACAGTTATACTGTAAGTCCCGGATGAGCACTTACAGATAAGTCCTTAAGGAGAAAAATCTAGAGCATCATAAAAACAGCCCAATGCTCTAGCTCCTTAGTTCCATGTTGCTAAAAAGCATCTTTTAATGTTTATTGCATATTACATTAGTCAAGTTACAAGATCATGGTCTTTAATTGAGCACTAGCATCATACTACCCAATGCAATACCCCATAGGTATCAAGGAATCCAAGACATCAAGTAGCTAGGAAAATTTACTACGGTTGCCAAGGTAGACACATGCATATGATTAAAATGATATTATGGTGAGTAGGACAACAAGGATGATCCCATGCTATACTTGCCTTAAACTTAGATCATTCTTCAAATACAAAACTTCGAAGATCTGCTTCTTGATTCGCCACGTATAACTTATCGACTAGACAAGATCATAAAGCACCACACAAGCATCCATGCAATCATACGTGAAGCAAATAATAGATCTAAATTAGAATAGTACACCAAACATAAAATCAATATGAAAAGTTTGTAAATCGAATCTACGTCTTACTACGAACACACAGATGCGAAAAGCACAGTAATCGGAGCTACGATGAAAAAGATACATCTACCGATAGATTTGCTTTATACGTGGAAAAGAAAACTATAGGCTTCATTTATTTTAACTATATAAATATATATAAGATATTTTATAAATAATATAAATTGGATTAAGTCAAATTTAGATTTGAATTATAAAACTAAAGTAAAACAAATCATATTTTATTTATAAAATCTAGTTGCATAATTATTATTCAAATTAAAGTTTAAACCATAAAATTCCAGA